GGCTTACTGTGTTAAGCCCGAGGTCAGGCCCGCGGGCCTAATTATATGACCAAGCCCGGCCGGGGTGCGGGCCGGGCCGGGCCAGGCCGTCGGGCTACCCGGCCCATGAATAGGTCTAAGCACAATGAGGCGCACTTTGCTCGCACTTCGCATGGCTCGCAAAGAGCGGCTTTAGTTTTGATGCGATGCTAACCGTTGATCACCGTTGATGAGATCAACGGTCACGATTCGATCCGGTGTGATCAAGAGGCACAATTCAAAGTTAATAGTCACTAACTGTTAACTACTTTTTAAACAGTCACAATGTTTGAAATTGTGACTGTTCAATGTGCCTTCTCAAAACCAACACCTACCTTTTCTTCATACATCTTTATAAACTATTTAGGGAGCATGAATCAAACTTCAAAAACACACATTTTCGAAATCCACTTTCTCTCTCTCTCTCTCTCAGTCCAGTCTGCTACAGTCTCACAGAAGGTTTCTTCAGAGATTCTTCAACTTTGATGGTTGCAGATTCTCGCCCAAGGCTCTATTGCATCTTGGGAACGGATTTGCTTGTAACCCAACAGCAAAGTCAGTGAAACTGAGTGGGGGCAATAACGTTCTAAAGACAGTGTCTTCAGACACGCCTCAGAGCTTCTCCTCCAAATTTATAGTGACCCCATTTTCCAACAGGCAAATCCCACAGACTGCTGCTCCTTTGTCTCCTTCTCGACAATCCATTCGTCGCCGCTAAGCTTCCTCTCCTTGCTTCTTTGTTTCTATCCATCTCTTTCCACTTCTTCTCATGAAATCAAATACAGAAGAATGTAAATCTCAGGTTGGTAGCTCGGAATATCCGGATTATCAATAATTGCAGGATTAGAGATCACCGCGTAAAGCATTGGAGAAGTCGAAAGAAGCATGTGGGAAGATTTCTCCATTGTGACCGGCCTTGGAGGCGAAACGGGATGATCATTTCCAAAGTATATTCGCTTTGCGAGCTTCAAGCCATCTTTGACAGATTTGACGAATTGTTGAGCCATTATGATCAAACTATTGAGATGTAAATGAAATTAAGACAAATTTTCAGAATACCTTTGGACTCTGGTTTCCATTTCGTGTCACCGACGCTATGTTTTTTTGAATGGATGAAATTGTCATCACCAACAGGTGAGGGAGGACTTCAGAAGTTCGCCACCACTGCAACATCTATCGCTATTGTTCGTGTACTGTGAGGTGAGGTCGGGGAAGATGAGCAGTGTTTTTCTTCAATAATTATTAGAAGGGTAGTATGGGGATTAAAAAATATTGCAACGGCGGATTTGGACAAAAGGGGGTCTTTGTCTCATGGTCATAGTACAAGAAGGGTCTTTGTTGCAAAACAAAGTACAGACCCTAATTAAAATAGAAAATAGCCAAAACCCATTGAGCGAATTAACCGTTGACTAATTTAACAATTTTTTATCAGGAATCGAGTTAAATTGCTTGAATGATTCCTGGCCAAAGAGTTTCAAAAATATTGGATAAAACTATATCTTTAATTTTTTTTTCTTCCATAAAGTGTATATTATTTTTTCAATATAAAGAAGTCTCAATGGTAATTGCATGAGTGATATTTTTTGTCTCTGTTAGAATATGTTAGAATATTGGAATAGATACTACTTGTAACTGTACAAGGGAGGTAAGACGAAAAGGTGATAAGAATATCTACTCGAGTTGTTCTTATCATTTTGGTTTCCTTTGAAAATCCGAAAACCATGAAATATCTGAGAGAAAGCGTGAACGTGAAGGTTGAAGAAAACAAGGGGTCCCATCCCACCGTTTTCTGCCAAAATATCTGGAAACTTTTACATAAAAAAAACCAGCCCACTGTTTCCCCTCCAATCACTATGTCGCGTTCAGCATCGTCACCCAGGTCCCAAGGGGCACTCTCGTCTCATTCACACCAGCGGAATTCTCCACTCTACGCGTCAAGACGCAGCCGTATTACGATCAGAAACCAACGGCTCGGATCTCGAAACTAGCCACCTTTCTAAACAATTCTCCTTTATCCTTTATCCATCGGCGCTACTTGGATTGAGTTTTGATATATAATAAAACCCATAACCCATTAAGTATTAACCCGCTCTAATGGTAATAGACAAGGATTAATAATTAAAATAATATTTTCTTTATCCTTATCCGTTCCCACTTCTCATTCATCGCCCTTTCCTCCTTTATATATTATTTCAGTCAACTCACTCCTCCATTGTTCTGTAATAAGATAAAACGCCTCCTAAATCCTTCCAGCCTTCCTCTCTCGGTCGTTACTATAGCAACCAGAACTGTAAAGAATGATAAGATCACTTCCCTTACCTTCATCTCCTTCTTTGATTTTGGAAGTTAACGATCTTCACCGTTCGAGGTCATCTTCTAGGGCTGCATCGACGATCTGTTCTTCTTCTTCAAGAAGCAATGCTTATATTCCAAAGCTCGAACCTTTCAGCAGAAGCAAGATAGATCGACGTCTTAAAGAACCTTCCTTCATACAGAAGACTGAAAGCGAGCTTGCAGGTATCTGGATTGGACCTTTTCCTTCCCCTCTTTCCTCTTCAAATTGTTAGATATTTGGTCGGTTACGTGTAGATTCTCTAAATAAATCCTGTTTTTTCTTTCTTTTTTTTGCTTCAGATTACTGTTCGACTCTAGAGGGAGATGCATCGTACAGCTGTTGGAGAGCATACTTCGAATTGAAAGATCTTGAAGTAAGATGTATTATTTCTCTCAGCCCTCGTAACGCAGCGAATTATTTCATCACAGAATCATACGATCCTAAATATTTTGTTGAAAATTTCAGGAGGAGTCGTCGAAAGAAGACATTGAGAAGCTGCTTATTCAGACGGGGGGAGTAAAACCTCTAATCGATTGCGTTCATGGGATTTCGGCTATGCACAAAAAGAAAAAGGAGGATGCTGGATCTCTGAAACAATCGGATGCGGAGATACAAGAGTTGAAACCTTTTCCGGTGCCGGACGGATTGCCCAAGTCACGGGAAGAGGTGGAGGAAGAAGACAATGGCAGAATGCCCGATTCCCCCTTCACCAGACTCCTCAGAACCAAGGGGAGGTTCCCTGCTTGGTATTCTCCTGCTCCAGATCACGAAACCGATTAACAGGAGTCAGGATTCAGGAGTGAGTAGACTATGTTCCATCATTCCCAGTAAATAATATATACATAGGATAGGGCTATCATCTGTGATGCTGATATCTAATCTGTAGATTAATGTGTGTGGTGTAAACTGTAAGATGATTGGGCAATTTACCTATTGCTAAGCTAGAATTTGATTTTATTATTTTATGCTCTGTTGATGGTGATCTCTGCTTTTCAGAACCGGCTCGGACAATGCCGGCCAGAATGGTGCAATCAAACCTGGTTGTACATTATATCCAAACACAGATGCATGTGTACTTGTGTTTGTGGTTCACTCGTGTTCTTTGTCCACGCGGACCCCCAACCCCAATCCAAAGGTTGGATTGGTTCAATTGGAGACTACCCAAATTCTGGGATAGTCTGGAATTGATCAGTTGTATTGGGACTGAGACTAAGGATATGGATAAAAGTTGTTGGCTTTCAGTCGTTGAGGGATGATGAACAAGAACAAACACGTATAGCTAGATCATAGTCTTGGGACGGAGGTCTGAATCTGGAATATTTAATTTAATACAGTTTGATCTGATAGCTGGCGAATTGGTTTAACGATCGAACCACAAGGTCTGGAGCTTCGTCAAATTTAGGGGCCGTTTGGGTTGTGGGAATAGGGATCTGAAATCGGCATGGCCCTGATTCTAATATTTTAGTTGGGCTGAATGTGAATTCCATCTATATTCCTGGTGGAATATCATGGCCATTCCTTCCCCGTCGCTTATTTTAATTTCGGTTCTGATTGCCATCTGAACCAAACAGACTATAAGAATATATCATTTTGATTCCCATTTCAAGGGATTTTGATTCCAATTCCGTCGGATCATTAATTTCCGGTTATTGGTGTTCTTTGGCAACAAATTGCAGTCTCCGTGAGACAGTAAAGTCGCCCATCTGATATGTTCATTTATGGTGTTTTAGGGCCTCAACAGCAATAATATCAAGAGAAAAGTATTATGCAGAATTCTGAATTGCAGCCCTCCGTAGTCCCCTGCCTGTGGATTTGGCATTAATCCACGGTCAGGATTTATCCTTTGTACGATGGGACTAAAAATTATGGGCTGTGCTGATCAGTCATTCTCCCCAATATTAATGGATTAATCAGTTCGACAGTGGACCATCCTTTTGGATGGAAGCTAAATCACGTCCGGTCTTTGGGACTCGGTGTGTCACCGACTACGTATGCTTTTGCAAGAGCAGCAAACCCGGTCTTGGCGTAAGACCACCTCTGACAATTCATATATGATTTTGCAAGATGATATAAATCGAAGTGTTTTTAGGACCAGTTTGGTTTGTGGGAATAGGACCTGGAATACGGTCATTTTGATTTAATTATATTAAAATTAACATTTCATTTCCATTTTTAGTAAAACGGTATTTTAACATTTAAGGGAATAACCATTTTACCTCTTTTTGGGATGAAATCCTATTTCAACTGATTCCAATTTTAATTTTGATTTCTGTATAAATTAAACTAGGGAATAACCATTTCATTTCCATTCTATTCTGATTCCAAAGAATTTCGGTTTCAAATGGATCCTTAGTTTTGAAGGTCTTAAGTAACCATAAGTCCCCAGTCAATTATGAATTGGACCTCGATGCAATGCTTTCATTGCACCAGATTTCGGGGCGAGAGAATCCAAAATGATGGGAGAGCACAGAGCAGACTGCAGAGCATCCAAATATTCAAACAGGGCAAGGTGACGACCAATGGTGTGGCCAAAGTGAACTCTTCTAATGAAGTCAATAAAGGGAAATTCTTCTGCCACGTCTAGTGTTGATGTGGCTGATCCAAACCGTTCACCAATATACGAGCCTTTACAGTAGCCCAGGGGTTGCAAATCACTTCGGTCAGGGGTCTGTTCCCAAGCCGAACGGTCGTTCTGATAAAAAATAAATAATAAATGGTTAAAACTGTTTGAACGGTTAATCGTCTAGTTCAGCAGTTTGTTGATCAAAATCAACACTTTTTTTTTTGAAAAAATCCGGTTTTAAGGGAAACGAACCAACCACCTGACTGATTTCTGGTTTTCTGATCTGACCATCTGGTTCGGTCTGATTTTAAAACCATGATTATAACAATCAATACAATAATCATTGTTGCAGATTATAGTGACCCATGATTGTAATCATTAGGCATGATTGACAGCTGTAACGGCTTCCCATATATAATCAATCAATACTGAAATAAAAGGATATTGGCCAGATACAAATTTGTTTCGAAAACGAGAAGGGTTTGTATCAAACTGAACCGCAGCCTCTCCTAAAACAGAACAAGACCAAAGATTCGTGCTGAATCAAATGTAACGGTTCAACCTCCAACTTTTTGCCTCAATCTACCGTTTTTCTTTTTATTGGTGGGCAAACAGACCTTACCTAATACCTACCATTTCTAAATTACCATTCAGTATTCACTGGAACTAATTTCATGAGGCCCGATTGTTGCTCTTCTCCTTTTACAAGGATTCTTTACTGTCTTAACGAGAATCTCATGTCCTTGATTCATGTCTTCTAGCTTAAGCAATCTCCAGAAATACTGGAGTGGAGTAAAACCTCGATAGAAATGGTCTCTTGACCCAAATTCCTCAGTTAATAAATGTTTATCCTTTGTGACAAATGATCCTTATCGTCCTTAGCTGAAACCTTTCATTCAGCAGGATTTTGAGGCGATGTATTCCCTTCAGTTCTTGTTTGTTTGTCGGTATTTAGTGAGGGTAAATTGGTCACACAATACGAATGTTTAGTGAGGGTAAATTAGTAAATGAGGATTCTCTAAGGTCTCAGTTATCTTATCCTCCCTCTACTTGAGTAAATGAGGATTCTCTAAGCACTCTCACCCTCTCACCTCTCTCTTTACCGGGATAACTGAAAGCTGAAAGCATGCTTATTTGGGCAAATTTTACTTGGGCTGTGTTTGGAAACAGTGCAAATAAAGTGTAAATACAAATATGCAAAATACATTTTGGTACATACAAATGTAAAGTTGGTTTAGTTTTGCATTGATAAATTTACTTTCTTGCCAAACAATTTTTAATTGTATATGCAAACACAAAGCCCGATATTAAAATATATCTTTTTAACATTGATCACCTTGAGTGCAAATATTTACTTTCTTTTTTTGGATGTAGAATTACTTCTCATTATGGGTGTAAATATGCCTTGAAAATTATATTTTCTATCATTGACAAAACACAAATGCATTGTTGCCAAACACTTAGGTTTGGAAGGAGTACAAACACAATATGTAGAGTGCAAAATCTTATATTTTGTATTATTTTGTATGTATTTACACTGTACATATTTGCATTTGTACTCAGTTAATCTCAGTTTGGAAGGAGTATAAATACAAATACATAGAGCACAAATACAGGTTTAGAAATATAAAATATAAGGTTTTGTACTGTATATATTTGTATTTACACTCCTTACAAATTTGGCCTTATTTGTATTATTTTGTATGTATTTACGCTGTACATATTTGCATTTGTGCTCAGTTAATCTCAGTTTGGAAGGAGTGTAAATACTTACGCTGTACGTATTTGCATTTGTACTAAGTTAATCTCAGTTTGGAAGGAGTGTAAATACAAATACATACAGCATAAATACAGGTTTAGAAATATAAAATATAAGCCTTTGTACCGTATATATTTGTATTTACACTCCTTATAAACTTGGCCTTATGCAACGAAACAGGATTTGCACTCTTTCCAGCAGACTTAGGCTCAATTTGGAAGGGTACAAATACAAATATGTACAGTACAAAATAATACAAAATACAAGCTTTTGCACTCTACATTTTTGTATTTATACTCCTTCCAAACTGAGCCTTAAATAAACACTTGCTCTCATAAACGCACTTAGCCAGATATATAAAAAACAAAAATTTTATCTTTTATCAATAAAATCTCTTTTTTACCAGAAAAAATAAAAAAGAAAAAAGTTCCCACCCACACTTGGCGTTGTTTACTGGGTACGTTTGGTTTGCAGTTAGAATTAGAATCGTAATCGAAATAGGAATAGCTTATTTCCATAGTCTGTTTGATTTGAACAGGAATGAGAATGAGAATTAGAATCAGTAGAAATGAGATTTCATTCCTAAGAAAATGGTAGGGAATGACCATTCTCTCAAATATGGGGGGGAATGCCATTCCAGTGCAAATAGAATTCCGGTTCCACCCAACCAAAGAGTTAAAATTGGAATAGCCCATTCCGATTCCGATTCCAGAGAACTATTCCTATTCCTTTGAACCAAAAGGGGCCTCAATTATGCATAGAAAATCCTCCGCATTGGACTGCCTTATTGTAAAAGTAATATCCCAACTCCACCAACACGTTCCGACAAGTGTACTGGTGCTGATGAACTACCCTTCCGAAATCCTCCATCAGTTTCTCCTCCTACCCTAAATATGTCAAACCAAATGCAAATTTGCAGAATCCGTTAAGAGAATCTTACAAGTTTCCTCCATGGTTTTTATATTTGCTTGTTAAAGAAAAAGTTGGCTATAAACTTCACGAGTAGGGGAAGATTCTACGCATACCCATGGTTCTGTAACCACTCTCCTCCACCTCTGATAGTTACAAACCACGGCGATGAACTCTTTGAAGTCTCTCAGCCAGCTGGTTCTTATCTTCCTGTTCATCAGTATCTCTCCGTCTATCGTCAGAGGTCAAGATGACGATTTGGGAGCCTCTTACATCTTTGGAGATTCTCTAGTGGATGCCGGAAATAACAACTACCTCAACACATTGTCTAAAGCCGATATCCCACCAAATGGAATTGATTTTAAAGCTTCTGGAGGGAGTCCCACAGGCCGGTATACCAATGGAAGGACCATTGGAGACATTGTTGGTAATCTCTCTCTCTCTCTCTCTGTATAAAGAAAAGCTTTCACACTTTTCCTTAATCACTTGCAGGGGAGGAATTGGGACAACCCAACTATGCCTTCCCATTTTTGGCCCCAAATACCACTGGGAAAACTCTGTTATATGGAGTCAATTATGCTTCTGGAGGAGGGGGAATAATGAATGCAACCGGGAGAATATTTGTAAGCCTTTCTTATCCCTATTGTTGGACATTTTGCTATTCGATTTTAATCTAAGTACTTAATTACTTACCTTCTGGGAACTGCTTTTTTCTTTGGGAAAACTCAGCGAAG